GGAAACAGAGACTGCAGCTTGGAAGGACTCACTTTAACTTATCCGATGACCCACTGCAAGTCATCAAAAGACCTTTACGGAGTTCTACCACATCGTCCACGCCCTAAACACTCATTACGCTAGCATGGGATCAGAAACATAAATGTCCTGCATTTGCAAACTCAATAACGAAAAATGTCAAAAAAATTGTAGGTGATAAACAAAGAGAAACGGCTGATGTCAAGAGAAAAAAATTCATACCATTTCGAACCCAGTTTCTATTCGCTCCAAAATATTGCCATAATCACCATGTACAAACACTTCAAGATACCCATCACGGCCACCAGCATAGACATATCTGAAAATCCGAAACTTTCAACTCATAGAACTAATTAGACCAAAAACCACTAGCGACGGGGCACCTCTGTGTTGGGCATGTGTCATTGTTTGCGACAAAGAACATTGCCAGGAACACTACAACTTCGAGATTTGATGACAGATTTTCAAAAAGAAAAACAAGTCACACTGGAAAAGTAACTTTTGCAAAATTGAGTAAGAGCATATGAATCCATTTCCCCCATCTGAAGAACTACGAATACAATTTTCCAGCCTCTCTTCTGGCAACCTTGGCACGTCCGTTGCAGGCTCTTCAGAACTGACTAGCGCCCTTCTGCGGCAGCACACCTTTCCGCTTTAGCGATGGGACCGTCGGCTTCACACTCCGCGATCACAAAATATTGTCGTCTATATGATAGTTCGTGGGTGTTGGTTGACCTCGCAGTCGAGAAAAAAACTGAATCCGTTGAAAACCTTAAGTGTAAGGTCCTATTGATTTCCAGTGTAGGACGAGCGGGAAGCAAGAGAAGCACAGATACTAAGCTACGAAGGAAAGGGTCTCAGGATAGAACGACCCATCTTATCTCAGGATGCCTCTCAACTGCAAGACACTCCTCCTTCCTCTTTTCTTGCTCCTTCCTTCTTTTCTTCCTTTTCTTCTCTGTTTCTTCCTCATTTCCCACCCCTATTCGAATGCTCGACCACTGGATGCCATGCGGAAAATATCTTTAGACTTTCTCAGCGAGAGAACGTGGTTGACGGAAGCCTTGTAACCCTATCCATCTGCCGCAAAACCAGACCAGATGATGCCTCCGAAAGCCCGCAGTGGGATAAACTTGGGATGGCAGATGCTCTATTAGAAGCTAAAGGATAAAGCTCCTACCTTTGATCCAACCCTTC